ATAATACTGTAATTCATACACATAAATACAATTATCTATCCGCAAATGCACTTGAAAATTACCTTTTGGTGGCACTGCAGCTGTTTAGCAAGGAACAGTCAAAATCTTCAGCCTGTAGTTCTGGAAGCTGGCAGAACTAAAACTTCAACTAAATGATTCTATAAAATATGCAAAAACCCCAAACTCTCCTTTTGAAAACCACATATTTCTCTCCTCTGTACATCAGTGAATTGAGTTAAGTTGTTCTATATATGCAATGCGCTGTTTTTTGGGACGTGGCGTCCTTACTGCACTAACTACAATCAGCCTCCAGCATCTTATCGTCCAACCAGTTAGCAGATTCCTTCCTTTCATGGCCCAAAGCAGTTCATGTCAATGTTTGTTTTATTTTTATTTTTTTTATCTTTTCCCCGAGCAGCAGGGAAAGCACTGCATCCTGGATGTTTCGGCTAACGCTGTGCGTAGACTACAAGCTGCTCAACTTCACCCCATCGCAATCTTTGTCCGGCCCAAGTCACTGGAGAACGTTTTGTACGTATCTTTAAAAGAGATTCCTTTAGCAGTTATCGCCGCAAACAGAAAACGGTGTGTGATGAAAGTTTCTGCATATGGCATCACCAGAGAAATCAACACCCGGCTGACGGAGGAGCAGGCCAGGAAAGCAATGGACCGAGCCCTCAAACTAGAACAGGACTTCATCGAGTGCTTCTCAGGTAAACGCAGCAGACATATGCTGGGTAAAAATACCTTTTGTCTCAGTTTATTATTAGCCTGAGTTCCTCCATGTTCTCCCCGTACATTTTTTCCTCACCATTTAAAGGCCAACACATTGCAATGGCCACGTACACTGCCTTCACAGTGATAAGCTGCTTCTGTTTAACCGAGTGAGTTAAATGCTTTGAGCCCTCCTGGTGCCTTTTGGGAGGGCTCAGAGCGTTTTAACATTTCACAGACACATTTAGGGCAAATCTCCCCAGTAGTCGGAGCGCGGATGCCAGGTTTCTTCTCAAATCTGGTGCCACCCGTGATTTACAACCAATCACAAAGAGTGAGAGTCATTTTCCGGATGTGTGTGTTTTTTTAGGTTAAAATACGACGCAGTTCTTACAGTGTCCTGTGCATTAAGTCTCGTTTTCAACATTTTCTCGCCTCCTCTCTGCTTTCCGGTGGCAGCCGTCGTGGAAGGGGAGAGCTTTGAAGAGGTTTATCACAAAGTAAAGACAGTGATCGAAGAGCAATCGGGGCCTTACATCTGGATCCCCACTCGGGAGAGGCTGTGATGCTGCGACCGACCCGACCCGCCCTCGCCTCCCGACCCTCACAGCCACAGACCGCCGCCGCCATTCACCCGTCACAGCCGAGCCAGCCTCGCCTGCCTTCCCGTCCGTCCTCCCGTCCTCCAGCGAAGTCCGTGCTTAGGCGACCGCCGCTTAACGACACAGAGAGACTAAACGCCTGCAACGAGCGGGAAAGCACGGGAAAACGACACCGCGAGGCAAGTAAGGATACCAAAAAGGAGACTTTTTTTAAGAAAAAAAACAAAAACAAAAAACAAGGCGAACAAGCTTATGTTGTGAGTTCAACTGAACGAGATCGGGAGAAAAGATTTTAGTGTAATTTTACTTTACCATTTAGGATCAGTTGGTATTTAGCATTAAAATGAGCGCTGGATTTAAACAGTGGCTTCACCAGACGAAATTGGCCAAAAATGAACTCGCATTCAACAAAAAAAATCCAGTTTAATGTTTCGGCCATTGAAAATCCACATGCAGACGGCCACTTCAGGCAGATTTTAACTGCATTTTGATCCTGTGTGTGAGCTGCGGTCCATGTTCTGTGGATTTCGAAAGAGTGTAGATGTGTCTGAGTAGACTTTGGAGTAAAGCAGAGGGTAGACCTCAACTTCTCTGCCTATCTCAAGTCTCCTGCCCCACACTAGGCACTTCTACGTGACGGTGATCCCCGGGATGGAGATGCTAACAAAAGAGCCTTTTAGCATCTCTCTTTTTTTTCTTCTTTTTTTTTAAACGACCTCCTAGCGTCTTTGGAGAATACTTCAGATTCTAGCGAGGCCCGCTCCCTTGACCAGGAGTCTTCTCTCAGCACTTTTTGTCAACCTCTTCTTGGTTCTTGGTGCACACTTGAAACAACATCTCTGTAACCAAGACAAACATTTCTTCTGTTGCCCATTTTAAATATTGTGAGGCAGATTTTCGAGGCGTTGCAGTTAAGTTCGATTAAAAACTCATTATAAGCTGAAGCATGCATCTTCACTGATGGAGTTATCAGAGAAAAACAGAGGAAAGAAAAAAAAAATCTCAGAAAAAATAGGGAAAAACAAAAGAACGGCTAAAAGGTACAGTATCTTGCGAAAATATTTGAGCTTTCTCACGTTTTGTCATGTTCAAGCCACAGCCTTGTAGGATTTGTGATAAGTGAACAGAATATTGTCCGTAATTGTTAAGTGAACGGATGAGGATTTGTGCTTTCCAAAGTTATTTTACAAATATAATTTAAAAAATGTTGTTTTGCTTTTGCATTCAACTCCCTGGAGTCAGTTCTTGGTAGAAACTCTTTAAAAATACAAAAGCTAAAAGGGCTTTATCTAGTCTGGGAGAGTACAAGGCGCTTTACCCATCTATTCACACACTGATGGGGGTAAGCGACTATATCTTACTCTGGATGGATACTGTGTCTTATTGGGTTTAGTTCTGGCCTTTGACTGGGACATTCAGGCACATTATTATTCTTTGATCGCACCTGTTCCTCCGCAGCTCCGGCTATATGTTTAAAGTCTTTTCTCGGAGACGAATCTCTCCCCCCCGGTGGATTGTTCCCAGGATAATCCTGCGCTTATCTCCATTTATCCATCAGATTTGACCAGCTTTTGTGTCCTTGCTGCAGAAAAACATCCCCACAATATGATGCTGCCACCACTCTGTGACTGTGTGTGGACGCTCTTCTCAGTCTGATGTGTAGTTTCACAAAGTTATTTCAGCTTTTTTATCTAAGAATTCTTATCACTTCTTAATAGGGGTCTAAATATAAAGATGCACCGCTTTTTTCAGATTTTTAGTCATTAAATATTTTTGAAATAAATATGCCCCACTTTCCGCTGGTCTGGCTCGTAACACACCAGCGTTTGAAGTTTTGCGGTTGCGGCATGACAAAACGTTGGCAAAGCTTCAGATAAATGGATCCTTTTGCAAGGCACTGTATGTTCTTCTTCTCTGCCTCTTTATTGGGAAGGAGGGTTTTAGCATGTCTTATAAAAGAAGAGGAGTAAGGAGACGAGAGGCTGGCCCTGAGCGGAAACTGATAATCCGACACGGTTTGGCTTCTCACGCACCCGCACGCAAAACACACACACACACACGCGTACAAACCTCGCACCCCCATCCGGCGACCCTCACACACACGTGGAGTTGGACCCTCAGCTGTGAACCTGGCAACACCCGTCTGCAGCTGTTCTGACCTGCTAGTCGGAATCCAGGATGAATGTTATCTCTCCAGGCACAAACAGCAGAGCTCTCGGCTTCACCTTGCCGGTCACTCTTCCAGGAGATCCCCTTTCAACGCGCAGACACGCACACTGTTTCCAGTGGCCGCAGCGTAAGCCAGTTGCGCGTGAGTCTGTATCCGTGAGCGTCTCTGCACAGCTGTGCATGTGTGGAAACTCCTCTGTGTGTGTGTGAGGAGGAATAGGTCTTCTTTTATTCTCTCTCTTCCACTTTTCTCTGCTTCTTTCTCCTTCTCGAGTCCATACAAATTAACTATAAGTCATGTTTAAAGACTATAAAAAAGAAATGGCCTCTATATATAAATATATATATAAATATATATCTTTTTTATGACAATTTCTAACAGGACTAAGTCTGTAAAGAATAATCAACATTTCCAAATAATATTTCATTGATTTCTTTGGGTAAAATAGTATTTTGGTTGTTGGGTTTGCCCCCATATTCTCATTTTATTGTTGTTAAGCAAAAAGCTACACTGATATATATAAAAAAAATGAACCATTTAAAGCTGATGTAAAGCAAACCTGACATAAATATGAAACGGTAATATTTGGGGGAGGGGGCGGAAAATGTCAAAAAACAAAAAAAAGAACTAATTGAAAAACATGTGCAATGCAGCTGTGTGTCTCTGTGTGACTGGATGTGTGTGTTTGTTGCAGGAACACGTCTGTTATACAATATAGATAATGCTATAAAAGGAATCCAGCCTATGGTGGTTATGATGTATAATACATAAATGAGTGGCGTGAGCTTGTGGGTGCGTGCGTGAGAGGGTGAGACACACACGTGAAGATGTAGTGCAATACTGCTACGATGTTATGCAATGAAGACGGTTCTGTGTGTATGATTAACAAGAGTGTCTATGAAGTTTGCACTGATGGCTGTTAAACGCTGGACATGTCAGCAGGACAGAAGCAGTGACTGGAGGAGAAACGAAACGAGACGGAGAGTTTTAAGAGCATGTGTTTGTATTATATGTTCTGAATTATAAGAGGTAATATGGAAGTATTGATGGAAATAACCATTCATATTTATTGTTGTTTTTTTTGTTTGTTTGTTTGTTTCAGCACAAAGTGGATCTGCTGAGTTTTTTTTTTTTTTTTTTTTTTTTTAATGAATGGCAGTTTTGGGGGTTTTGGTTTACAGGTGCATGTAAATAAATCTGGAAAAAAACAAAAAAGATTATAATCAAAAGTCACTTTACTTCTGTAATCAACATGGTTCGCTGCACACACTGATATATTTCAAACTTTTATTTCTATTAATCTTATGGTTATGGCTTGCAAAAGATTTGACTGTTACAAACCAGTGAATTCATTAACTAATGAAGAAGAAGAAGAGGAAGAAGAGGAAGAAGAAGAAGCTTGTTCAGAGAGTACAGGCAAAATAATGGAAAGTTTGGTGGAAGAAACACACGGTGACAGTGAAGGGAGTCAGTATTCACAGTGACCAGTCCAGGAGACGAGCTGCAGATGTCACATTCCTCGTGCCAAGCCTGTCCTGCAATGGAAACAATATCAGTATCAGAATATTTCCTTGGTGTGCAGATTTTTTTTCCTTTTTTTTTTGCCCAGTTTGTTAAAAGTACCAGTATAAAAAAAACAGGTTTATAAATTTGAATCCAGTAGATAATCTGTGAGCTTCCATGCAGCAGCGTATCGATACGATGCAGCTTCATGCAAAAGAAGCCCAAATCAAGTATTCAGTGCACATATACCATACAATAGGCCTGTCACAATGACACATTTTGCTGGATAATAAATTGTTCCAGAAGTTATTGCGATAAACGATAATATTATTGTTTTGAGACCGTTTTTAAGCAATATAATGGCAAAATAATAATGCAAGAGCACATTAACACTGGAACTAGAAGACATGTTAAATATCCAAAATAAATAAACAAAACAACAAATAAAATTAATTTTGAAGTCTTTGTAAACAAAATTGTCCTGGTTGAGACCAAAGCACCAAACTGAAGACTTTTATCATCCAGTTTTTGAGAAAGAGAGAGAGAAAAAAGAAATAAACGATAAATCATGCAAATGGAAATGATTGAGTTTATTTTATTTTAATTTATCATGCGATTAATGGATTTATTGATTATTGTGACAGGCCTACATGGAGTTACTTTTCAGTATGTTATCAATCCTGGATGTAAAATGTTCTATTAGTTTTATGTAATAGCTTAACTATAACTCTGGGAAATTGAATTCTGCATATTTGTTAGCTGTAAGCCATAGTCATCAGAATTAATGAAGGAAAAAAATAGAAATAAATCAATGTGTTTAGAAGCCAACTATTTAATGAGGTTCAAGTTTTTAAATTGAATTTCTGAATAGAAAAAAAAACAACTTTTCGATGATATTCTGGTTTATTGAGATGCATCTGTTTTATTTATTAAGAACTGTCACTAAAGCTCCATATCGACTCTGTATATTTTTGTATTTTTCTTTCTTATTTTTTTTTTCGGTCTCCCCCCGCCCCACATTGAGAAAGCTCTTGGGTCTTGGATGCAAAACGCTGTAAATACAAATAATGTTTGGTTTTTCCGCGTGGCTCTCGGCGATCACTATCCTAAACGAGACCAAGTACGAGAACCCTCCATGGGAGCCACGGGCCCAGTTTAACTGCATTTACACACTCTGGGTGGGAAAAAACACACATATTTATACACACACACACACACACACACACACACACACAATCTCAGCATGTCCACACATGCATTTACATTTACTACATTCACAGAACACTCACTCATTGATTGAATAATATGTTTTCAGTTTCTTTCTTTGAGGGTTTCAATGTATTTCTTAATATCTCTCTCTCTCTCTCTCTCTCTCTCTCTCTCTCTCTCTCTCTCAGCCATCCGTATCATAGTGTGATATTCCTTATAAAGTATATGAATTTTTACAGAAAAGACTGATTACAAAGTTACAACTGATGCAGAAGAATATATTCAATAATGACATTATGAAGCAAAATAAAATGTTCCAGTTCAGTGAAGCGCTTGTTGTAAATTAGCTATAAAATAATAAAAATGGATTTAAAAATGCTTTCTGAACACTCGGACTCGGATGCCTTCTTGTTCTTTCTGGTTTGTGTAAATGGTCCCTTGCAGTTCCACAGGTGGAGATTAGCAGGACAACCAGAGGGGGGCGCTCGTCCTCTACGTTTAGCCTCTTATACAAGCGCCACTCGCTGCATCTGCACAGACTTGCTTTGTGTGTTTTTCTGTTTTTCTTGGATGACGGCTTCGCTACCACCCCAACCTCATTCCCCTCAATGGGAAAAAAAACAACAAAAAAACTTCTCTCTGGGAAGCATATATTCATGAACATCCCTCAGTCTGATCACATGTTCTGCTGAAGGGCATCAATGTCTGGATATCTGAGAATGTTCACACACTCAAGATTGTGCATGCATGATCCTGCAGCCAAAATCAATCATTCAGCTGAGAAAGAAGAGAGGAGAAGAACCAACTCTTTGTTACCGACTCATAATGCCACTGAACTTTTCTTGGTTTCTAAAGACTTTGAACAACTTGGCAGATAAAACTTATTTAGTTTGAAATAGTTCACGTTGCTTCCACAGTCAGTCAGTTTCACTCAAAGGTAAACAGTCATTCGGGGTTTTTAACGAGGCATTTAGACAAATGTTTGTTCTTTTTTCACCGGGAAGTGAATCTCTTGCAGATATTTTTAAGATGAGAATCGGTTGCACAATTCAGAATTTAATATGTTCCCTGATCTCTTGATAAAAATCCTTTAGCTTGTTGAAGAATCATCATATTTCTG